CTTGCTTGGCTGCATGCTGTCAGGGGAAGCATGGGTTAGCCCTGGGGCAGCTGGCCCCAAGCTGCCCCACCACACACCAGGACCCAGCTCCACCTAGATCTCTCCTCCTGCTCCTCTGCCTGTGACACTGGAGTATCTCATCTCCAGCACCCTTGGTGCCCAGCACCTCAAGGCGACACGGTGTGCACAAGGGAAGGGAAGGCAGCAGTGTGGAGGGCTCTGCGGGATGCAGCACCCACGCTGTATATGAAAAGGACTTTTGTGTCTCTGGGAAGTGCAGGGATGTGGGAGCTCGTGGTCAGGTCTCACTTGCTGACCATACCTGCCTGACCTCTGTGGACCCCTTGCCCAGTGTCTCACCTCCAGCTTGTGCACGAGCTTCTTCTTGATGGCGTTCTGGGCTGCAGCGTTGGTGGCCATGCGCAGCCCCTCCGCGGCCTCGCGCAGCCGCTGCTGCTGCTCCTCGCTGTCCGGGTGGGCTGCGGCTCCCTGGAGAAAGAGGAAACCCATCACACCTTGCAGGAGCCACTGGGTCCTGATGCAGCACTGGGTCCTGACACTGGGGAGCACCTCCAGGCATCCTGGCTGCCTGCGGTGCCTGGGAGATGCCCAAAGCCTCTCAAGGCAGCAGAGCTAACAGCTCCTCTGCTGTCACCCACAGCTTCAAGGAGGGCCCCACTCACAGGTCCTCAAGCTCACTGCAGGACTTTGCTCTGGAACTGCTCCCCCACGCAAGGGCTTCTCACCCCCCTGTTCAACACCAAGCGCTCGTCCTCCCCCATGCCACTGACCTTTGCAGCCTCCACCATCTTGGCAGTGGCATCAGCCAGGATCTTGGCTGCACTCAGCAGCTTGCGTGAGTTCTCCAAGTCTGTCTCTCCCTCTGCGTCAGCTTTGATGGCATTGACAAGGTCGGAGGTGGCCTGGGCCAGAATACGAGCCTGCCGCACCATCTCCCCTGGGACAGAAACGAAGCGTGGCCATTAGCAAGTCCTATGGGCTCCCCGATACCTTCCCATCCACAATGCTCTACGCCAGGTGTCATAAGCTGTGCTCACCAGCATCTCCCATAGAGCTGAATATGTTCTCAGTGACGTTGAGGATGGTGTCAGTGGCCTGGTCGTAGCGCCCGATGGGTTGCCCACCCAAGGCG